TGAGAGCTCAGCCTGACCTCTGAATCACATCCTGATCTCTGTCCCCAGGACTGCCTGAGACCTGCTCACTTTTGAATAGGAGATTTATCCAAAGGTTTATGATAAGTGTTTCTCCCGCTCTTCCATTCTATTCTTTCTCACTGCAGTTAATATCATTGTAGAAATAGAAGCTGTAAAGAGTACAATGAAAGCAAATGCTTTACAAGCACCTCTAAATTGTGATTATACCAAATTTGCATGCCTGCCATCTGCACATAAAACCCTGCCTTTGCTCCAGCAAAGCTTCCTTGCTGAACTCACAGCCTCTAGATCCTCACAGCTCTGCCCCACTGCACAGTTCTCTATGGAAACATGGACAGTAGGGATAGAGGCAGCTGCGCGTGTCCATCTGAAGGCAGAATGCACCCTTAAGCTTTAATAATAATACTGTTGGCAATATGTAACATTTAAATAAGCCTTTTCATCTTCAAAGCCCTCTGTAGGCACAGGGATTCACCCAGCATCTCTCTGGTGTGGATATTATTAGCATCCTTTTACAGAAGCAGTCGGGGAACAAAGAAAAACAACGAAATTTGCCCAGGGCCAGTGGTGGGATCACTAGCAGGCAGATTATCGTGAATTGCCATTACCTGGGACCTTCCTTTAGGGATCATTTGAAAAAATAACACAAGAATACGTGTTCAAAGAACCACAGAGTGCTGACACTTTGTATGATGCTGCTCTTTCCAAAGAATTTACAGGGACATATCCCAGCCATTAGCCTAACAAGAGAAAGAGAGGGAAACTTGGTGAAAGTCATGCAGAATTCTCCTGTTGGTAGTTCAGTGTTACTCAGTGTATTGTGATGTAGATTTGATTGATTTGTTGCAGAGAAGTGCAGCACACTGCAGGGACAGTGAAATATCACCTGGGGTTTGCTCCACTGCACGTTGATTTAAACCACACTGAATTAAACTGCAGCAACCTAGAGGCTTCGGATCAAGCCACCCTTTATAAGTACATGACCAATCTTTTTATTTTTAAGGGATCCTGTTTTCACAGGAGCAGATTCCTTTGCTGAAATGCAAGAGTATCATAATCTATATTACAGTAGATGAAATACTAATGCACTGTGTCCTGGATTGTACCTCCCTCAGAAACATGACATGTTTTTGATCTAAGCTTTGGGGAATAATGTGGACAAAAAGCCTTTTCAAAAGCAGAGAATAAAAATGGTCTTATTTGAAATTTGAGTATAACAGCTGAAAAAAGCACCACCCTCATCTTTATTAGCCTGCTATTCAATCCACATGAAGCGAAGACATTGTAACGCTGCTTTTATCACCCCACTGGAAGTGGAGTGGTAATAAATGGAAAGAAACACATTACACGCTATCCAAGAGACCTGATCCTGAACTGCACTGAGCTTCTTATTCCAAGCCAGGAGTCCTTTTAGCTCTCCTTGACCTCAGTGAGAAACCTGGGCTCTCCAGAGCTAATGCACAGTATTCTTTATTCTTACAACTCTGGGATAGGTGTATTGAAAAATAGATTTAAAGGGAACACAAAATGTATTTGCTCTTTTTTTTTTTTTTGTTCTTACATCTCATCTTAACATAGTATATCTGGCAACATAAAGGTATGGCAGCTGAACACTATGTGAAATATAACAATCATGTCTATTTTGTCTAGAATCTGTAAATTGTATAAGGTTGAGGATATTCTGCAGGAAAGAAGCACATTAACCTTCCAGAAGTGGATTTGTGCCTGTATTTTCCTATTAAAAAAAGTGTCTTTAACACAGTCTTCAAAGTTTTTTATGTGGATAAATACAGAGAAGGCATGTAGCCCTTCCTCAGTATAATACTGACTGCAAAAATACTGATTTCGTTTTTCTTAAGAAACAATAGCAAATGCTAGAAATCTTATCATCCAGTGTGCTTTTGATTTTTCTCTTTTCCTTTATTTATAGGAGACAGCTATAGGCATACCACTCACTCTCTAATATTCCTACAGAAACAGCAACCATCTGGGTGCTGGGGTGGGTGCACCGAGCCCTAGGGTGCCTTTAGCCAGTTCACTTGGAATCTCGAGTCTGTCCTCTCCTATCACCCAGCAGCAATGGAACATTTGTTCCCTGAAGGGCCGGCACGCTGCCAGCAGCAGGTGTTAGGCTGTCCTCTGGGATGAAGGCAGCAGGCAGGAGCACTGATGTGTGCCTGTGACAAGATGTTGCAAATCTGCTCTCATAGCGACGGTGACAGCATCTGGGACAGTGTTGTGAGTCACCATTCTGTAACCATTAAAAACCAGTTGCCGTTCCTTTCATAATAATAAATTAAAATATCATTCCAAAGTGTGCTGGTCTCAGGAAGGAAATTAAAGAAGGCATGTACGGATAAACACATGTGTGTGCACTGGCACACACATGGCATTACGGGGTGTATTATCCAACCGTGTTCAAGTGACTGTGCCTTAAATTAACAGGTACAGCTGATTGAAAGGATAGGGTTGTGGCTGCTATTCAAACTGCATTTTTAGATTTTCTTTAAGGAAATACAGTAAACGAAAAATGTTTAAGAGTCTATCTTTTTAAATTAATGATTTTATAATTAATAGATAATTCTTACACAGTTGCACATATTAAGTCCAGTTTCCTGAATCACTTCAGTTTTAGATTTTATTTACATAGGCTGAACTTATGCCTCTTCTGACTAAATTGAAAGCTTAGCAGGGTATGTGGCATTTTACAAGAAGAGGATTTATATAAATATCTGCATGGAAACAATAATAGATTAGCTGCCTCTTTCCAAAATGCCTGTTTTGAAAATGCTTGCATAGATCTGTAGGCAGGTGCACAGATATTGTTTCCATGACCTCTTCCCACAGAGATCATATTCTTCTACTTCGGTTTATACGGGATTTGAATATGGATAAAGCACATTTCTAAAATTCGCCAACAAGCCATACAGCAAATATCCAAATAATGCTCTCCCTTGATTTTGCTGGAGTCTTGTTTCAGCCTGGTATGCTTATCTTTCAAGCCATCTAAATCCAAGACCTTCCATCTTATTGACCTTTATTGAATATAACGCATGGGATTGACGAACTCAAAGACGGGGCCTCTCTTTGACCGGTGGTGGGTTGTCAGCAAGGCCACTGCTTTAATTTGGGCTGAACCCGCCCCAGTCCAGATCAATGGCAGAGCTGTTAATGATGTCAACAGAGCCAGGATTTCACCCTTGGCTTCCACACTTGCAATGGTCAGCTTCATTGTGATGCAGCTTTATAAGCAGGGCTTATCAAGATGAGGGGCTTCAGAAAGAGAGAACTCATATGAGGGTCAATGCCTCAAGTCACATTAAATGCAAGACAGCTTAGCCCAAGTACTTCTTAGTATTTTAGTGCTTCCCCTCCACTCATGCTCAGTCTTCACTCGGTTTAACAATCTGGGTGGTTGTTCACTGATTTTAGTCCACCAAGTAAGTAATTTTCCCACTTGCTTCCCTTTTAGTCTTTCCCATAAGCTCCATTTTTGCCTGTTTGCCTAATAATATTTCATTCATTGCTGAAGACCAGATACCTTGGCTATCTATCACCAGATTTTAGTGAAAAATTAGTTATTTCTTCAAGGACAGAAGAAAAATCAGTTTTAAATGGTCCATCTTGTGGAAATGCATTTTACTTTTTACCTTTCCTGTTTCATCTCCATGTTTTTAAATCAAAATTTGTTCTATTTTTTTCCTCACAAATGAAGTGTGCAAAAGAGAACCAGGTGGGCTTTTTATGGCAGTTTTGAAGAAAACAAAATATTTTTTTTGGAGAACAGATTTGGTCAAAAATTGGGTAAAAATATGCAGAAAATATTGTAAATGGCAAACCATATTTTTCTGGTCTTTTTCAAAATAAAAATGTCTAATTTCAGGAATGCTGACACTTTTTGGTTAAGAATTTTCTGTCAGAGCAAGTATTTGTCATTTAAAATTTGACCTGAACCTATAATAAGACAAGACTCTCAAGGAATTGTAAGTGATATAAAAAAGGAGGGGGGAGAATTAATTTACATTTGAATGTTAAATTCAGGGATGATGCAGAGCACATTTTTTTAATTTTTACTTTGTGATGGAATTTTTTGCAACTTAAGGTAAATACAGGAAACCAGAGAGCTGACTACAGTGACACGATCTAACAACACCCCTCACCACACACTAAACTCTTCTGTTACCTGTAATACTACTACAGACTGGCAGACATTGCTCTACAGTTATTACAGTGTTTTCAGTATAAACACCAAGTAAGACAGAAAATAAACTTACTTTTGAAAGGGAAGAGAGTCAGAAAATAGACAAAATTAAGTGCAGCTTTGAAACTCTCCTGATTTTTTTAGGATTAGCTGCTGGTTCTGTGTTTAGCGACATAACAACCCCAAATCCAAAAGGTGCCAATTACATCACCCCCTTGACCTCTGCTAAAGCCTGGTGAGGAGCACTCTCAGCTCACAGTTCTTTTGATATTTTTAGGTAAATGTTGAATTTTTCCCTCATTCTCCCACATATTCACTCACTTGCTGTGTGTTTAAGATCAGATTTTCGAAGTCAGGCATGTGAATTTGTGCAGGTACATCTGCACACATCAACATTTGAAAATCCAGCCCACAGTTCAAATGAAAAAAACCCCAGAATTCTATTCCCATGTGAGTTCTACAAATGCCTCTGAGAAAGCCAAATCATTTATTGAAATGTTTGACAAAGAAACCACATACTTTGTTGTTTCGATGCATTAGATAAGGGTCTACTTTTTTTGGAAGAAAAAGCCTTCGCTGTAAATCAGCAGCATGAAGAATTAAACATGAAAACAAAAGCATATTATTTAAAGAACAGCCTGTTCCCTAAACTGTTACAGTGCTTGGTGCCAAACCACATTTTGTGATATATCATGTACAGCCTCCTCTTGCATGTTTTACTGTTATGCTTTATATGACTTGGAGTGAGAAAACCCTGATAGTTCTGCCATAGACTTACCACAGCCATCAAAGACAGGTCCACTCACAGAGCTGCATCACAACATGACAACTTCCTCCTGGGATGATGACTCTAAAAGAGGTGGAAAAGTGTTTGTTTACTTGGCAATATGTATGAAAATCTGAATTGACTTGAAATGTAAATTAAGAGTGGATCTGTTACCCTTCATGAAACACTTGGTGGACGCAGGATGACAATGACCTTGCTGCAAAGTGCAACACACACAAAGTAGGGCCACTTCATTCTCACACAGGCCTAGAAATAGAGAGTAACCTAAACTTGAATGTGAATTTACAGTATATAAACCATTATTATCATAGTATGCAGGCATATACCTGTAGAGGTAAATGTTAAATAGTTTATTTCACACAGGGCTATGTTATATTTAATTTACAATGGAGTAACAACAAGCACACAGGCAACTACTGCAGAGCATCTCATGTCCACCAACTTCCTGCTTAAATATATATTGGGATGTTTTGGTTATGTGCCTTTATCCCCCATCACTAACCCATTATCAAAATTCATCCTGATTAATTTTCCAAGACATACCTGAGACGACAAGCCTAACTTCCATGCTGTGGTAGAGAGAAGGGTTCAGCAGCCTTTTATAGATCTTGTTTCTAGTCTCTCACTGATAAAATCCTAAACCAGAGACACTCACAGGGTAGAAAAAACCCAGGTCTGACAAGTTAGCAAGGGAAAAAAAGGACTGGAGCTGGCTATGGAAAGAGCGTAAGGAGTGAAACCTGCAGTAGGAAACCAATGGGGACAGCACATGTAGAAGGTGCTGTTAACTGCTCCATTAGCTCAGGTAAAGTGGTCCAAGATATGGTACAAAAGGTCCTGGACTCAGGAGTGACCCAGAGGGATGTCAGTGTGATGCAAGATCTGTTTTCCATTTTATTTATGATCCTTTTAGAAAGATGACAGGCAGGAACTATACTAAAATTATACATCTTTCAATGCCAAGGACTTATGGGAAAAGAGATTACAGAATCAATGTTATTCCTTCAGTTGAAATTGAACTCACTCTGTTCATATGCATTATATCTTTAATAACATAATTGCATGATGCTTTTTTCTACAACTCTCTTGCCTTATTCCTTGCATAGTTCTGACCTACACTGAGATGAACCAGGGTTTAGTAGCGAAGTAGAATCTTCTGGATCTTCACATATTGAGAAACTAGAGGTAATAAACGAGGTAGATATTCTTTGGAGTTACAAGAGAGTTAAATCCTCTTAAGGCTGAGCTCTAGACTCTCTAAGTACCATTACTAGAGTCAGCATGTGGTGATGGACAAATCACATAGTCAATGATATATGGTCACTTATATGTATCTCATTTTCAGGGGGCCCAAATTGATAGTCAAGGGTTAGAAATACTGAAGTGCTGAACTAGCTGAAGGTGAGGACATAAAGGGTCATGCCAGGAACATGTAAAGTTTAACTTAGTATTTCCATAAAACACTTATAATAAACTCAAATATCAGTAAAAAAGAAGTATCAACTATGAGTATATTGAAAGATGTAATTTTTTTAGATACACTGAAAATACAAAGAAGCCTGAATCTAAAATTCTCTTTTATGTATATTATTACTGTGAATTTAGTGGATTCAAAGGAGTAAAATGACTCAGTTTAATAACTCACTAATGTCATTTAAGTCATCCAACTGCTCCAGATTTTTATCTTTCTGCATTTTATTAAAATAATGGTCATAAGAACACATTTTTCTGCAGTTAGCCCAAATTAGTGTATTAATATGAAAATCTAATGTTAAATATCCTAAAATAATTATGATTTAACATTAGCATGCTTTATTTTTTCTTTCTGTACCTCATTTCCCTTCACCTTCCGGTGGTATAACAAAAATAAATTAAATTTTGTTTGTCACATATATGAACGTGACTGTAAAAAGTGCTGTAAAAAGCTGAAGAGGAAATTAATAACTCAGGGCAGTAAACAAGGCCTAGGACCACACAGTGAACTGTGAGGAGAAACAGAAGTTTTTTTGTCCCATCTATCTTATATGTGAATAAAAAAAAACACAGGCAAGTAAATGTAGCATAATGCATAGACAGAAGTAGTGCAGTCTTAATTTCAGCTTTCTAATGTTTCAACCTTTGAAGTCCCCAGTCCTTTTAACATTCCTTAAATGTTATTTCACTGTAATTACTGTGTTTGCAATGAGAGGGTTTTTTTCTCCCCTAAATGGAGTTATTTAGTATCAGTCCAGGAGGCTCTGGGAAAGGGAGAAAGGATTGTAGCTTACCTGTTTCAAATCCTTTGCACACATGGCAGATACTTTTGACCAAACTGGAAGATATTTCCTTGAAATTTTTCATTCCAGAAGAAAGAAGTCTTCACCTATAGGAAAACGCAGAGAAGAGCTGCTGTGGCAGTTTATTCCTGAGTTTATTCCGGGCTGTGCTGCCCAGTCCCTTACCTTGGGCAGGGCCATGGTGGAGCACATCCAGCTCAAGAGGGAGGCAAGTGTGTGTCACACAAGAGCGGATGAGCAAAACCTTATGGTTTATGAGAGAGTTTCAGTGAACTGTGTTTATATTACGGTTGGGCAAAGGTGCAAGCTTTGTGCTTTTTTTTTTCCCTAAAAAGGGAAAACCACAGAAAGAAACAGAGATGAAAAGGAAACAAGTAAACAAATGTGGTTTTACAGAAACTGAGGGACAATTTATCCTCAGCACAGCAAGAAAAAACTTGGAAAACATTTGGAAAAGTCAGAAAACAAGTTAAAGTTGGTTGGCAGACTCTGACAGAGCTGACAGCTAAAACTACCCCTGGCATATTGACAACAGTGTGGCATCAATCTGTGTGTAACAACCTATCCTTGAAAAACTCCATCCTGGATTTAAGCTAGCACTTCCTAACCTTTTCTCTACCCAGCCTCCAAGCTGCGGTGTGGAAAAAGTTTTCAGACATGACTTTTAACTCGTTTACGAGCAGGGGCCGGTGCTCCCCCTCAGACCGCCATCATGGCGGCTGCCTCAACCCTGCTCCCTCAAGGACTCGTCTCCCTCCCTCACGCTGCACTGGTCAGCATAGACACCCTCCTCAGCTGCCTGCTCACCTCTTGTCTGGGGTCTTGCACCTACTCCACATTCCCACTTTCTTTATTCAGGACGTTATTCTGTTCCCTAAAGCACAGCCATGGCAGAAAGATGAGGAGCCTCGTGGCTTCCCTTGTTGTAACCCATTCCACTGCAGGCTGTGTGCTGCCTGAGGGGGCCCTGAGCACCCTTCCTCACAAGGTTATTAATTATTGCTGCAAGGTTGTTATACATCTGCAGTACTTGTCTACACAAGTGTAGGGCTGTGTCTGCTGGCACCTGACTGTGCTGGAGGAGGAAGCAGCCACAGGGTTTTTCCTGCTACGGCTGCTGGTGGGAGGGATGGGGTTGTCACCTTCTGTCCTTAAAAGCCACAAATGTGATTCTTAGGAGTGACCCAGTACTTTTCTGGCAGCATAAAACCTGGAGGAAAGGAAGCTGAAGGAAGACCACCTTGCTCTCTACACCTCCCTGAGAGGAGGGTGGAGCCAGGTTTGGGCGTCGGACTCTTCTCCCAGTGAAAGAGGAACCAGACAAGAGGAAGCAGCTTGAAGATGCACCAGGTGAGGTTGAGATTGGATATTAGGGAAAATTTCTTTATCAAAAGGGTTGTCAAGTTCTTGCACAGGCTGCCCAGGATGGTGATGAAGTCTGTATCCCTGGAGTGATTTAAAAGATGTGTGTGGATGTGGCACTTGGGGGCACTGGTTAGTGGTGGGCTTGGCAGTGCTGAGGGGACATTTGGACTCAGTGGTCTGACAGTGCTTTTCTAAGCTCAGCGATTCTGTGATTTTATGATTGTGATGAAGGAAGTAGAAAGTAGTTACAGTAAAGTCTGAGCTGAGGCCCAGCAGCAGCTGAGTTGTATGGAGGTTTGAGGTGCAGACCCCCTCACCGTGTTACACTGCTGTCTATTGTTGCATGAAGCTATATAAATGAATGCCATGATACCACTTTCTGGGCAATTTCCAGCTGCATCCACTGTTTGCTGGTGATGCTTAAGGCATCCATATCTCCGTAAAGCTGTATGGGCATGCTCTGCCTCTTAGCAAGCTACTGACTATCAGATCTCACCTGAGGTGTGGTGGTAGCAATAGGTATGATCATCCTCTATCACCTGCAGCTTCAATCCCAAGAAAAGTGGGTTTAAAAGGTTGTTTTCATGCAACAAGCTCACGTACTGCCATATAAGATGTCATGGAAGTTCTTTCCATGTTATTACTACACCTTAAAAATAGCCTTCTGTTTTGAGACCCCTTGGTGTTCTCAGATTATCTGTATTTATACAGTTCTTATGGTCCTAAGATCCCTATGTGTTTAGCTGGATGATACACAGATAGCCTGAGTTGTCAGTCACTCTCTCCATCGCTCGAGAGCCTCACCTCACTTCTATAGACAGCTTTATATAATATCCCCAAGTGATTCAGCTCGAACACCTTGAATACATCAAAGATATCCGTCTGTAAGATGTCAGCTTCTATGAGGATGCAGCCAAAGGTTGCCCTGTACAGCTCATACGCAGGTTATGATGACTATACTATTTTGATTATAAAAGAAAGCTGTGCTTTCTCACTCGTGGTATGCCCAGCTATCATTTGCTCCCTCATGCCACACTGAGGTTGATACTTAGCAACTGAGGGGGTGGAAAAGTGAATTGCCAACATCTGTTTTATCATTTTTTGGTGAATGAAAAACCAAACAGAGACCTTACTTTTGCCTCGATCATTCAAAACAATGAAGTTTACACAGACTTGATGCCATCATGTGTTGCATTTCTAGCAAACCAACTTAACAAATTATTTTAAAGATAATGCTAAAAGAAAAAAAAGCTCATATACACTGTCACATAGACAACCTGTAATCCAGCCCAGCAGATTGCAGACTTTGGACACTTGGCTTTTGTGTCTTTGGTCACTGTATTCCACTTGAGGAAATCTATCAGAAAACTGAAGATTGCTTTTCTTTCATATTTCTCATGTGCTACAGCCATGTGAATAGTGGGTCTGTTTGGTTCCCAACTGCAAAAACAAATAAAAATTCCATCTTTAACACTTAGGAAACTGTCTATTTTTAGTTTGGTTTCCTATGGAAACAAGGCATCTGTGATCAGGCTGTCTCTGTGCATGTATCTGTCCTTGTGTACCCCCTAATAATTTTTGAATCTAGTGGCCTTTTCCAACCCAGTGTGATGAAACGACAGAAGTTTCAGGGTAACTGGGTTCTAACAAATTTCCAAAAATAAGGAGCTAGACAGATGAAAAAAAAGTTGATGTTGCACAGCTGAGGGAAAGGTGCAGCATGAACTTACCCATTATGAGACTCCAGAGAATCTATGGAGGTGAGAGCTGCAGTAAATAACAGGGCTATATGGAAAAGCTTCAGTCCAAGGTCATGCTTTTATGCACCTTAAGTTCATAAGACACCAGGTTTAATTCATTCCACTGCTCACACCATTATTAGTTTAATACTTGCAGTGGTCTCCCTTCACAGTCAGAAGATTAGAATTCTCCCCTTTCCCCATAACCAGCAAAGAATCTGGCCCCAGATGTTTTCAGATTTGACCTGTCATTGGGGTCAGAGGATCAGGATCATGGGATACTGGTCTAAGAAATTAAAGCTACTCAAATGGTGTAGACTTCTATATCAGAAAGCTTCAGGGAATGCCTGGAAGCAAGTTGTCTTTGGGAATTAACCAGTAAGCCCTTCAAGGAGAAGAAAATAATGTAGAACTCAGCTCTCCTTTTTATCAGGCAACTAAAATATGTGAACAAATTAAGAAATAACTGTTAAGGATGTGTTGGCTTGGGGATAATGAAGAGAAGAAATGGGAACAGCAGCTGAATAGACTTTGGTATGGAAGATTTGCTAACTTAGATTATTTTGTTAATTTTTAGTTGAATCAATCCCCTGCTCTGTCTTCAGTCTTCTCAAGGTTGTCCAGAGCTGGAAAACAACCAGCTGAAAGAAGTGTCTTTTGGGGTAAGGAAACTGGAACATAACATAGAATAGTTACTAGTACATGTGTGAAGCTGACTTAAATTGCAGACTGAGAGATGTTACAGCTGAACTAGTGCAGGTTCACTCTGGAACTGGTATCTCTGAGGCAAGAAGGGAAAGACACTCCTTCTTCTCTGTGACCTGTATCTGAATCTGTACAGATACATTTCTGCAGGCTTTCATCCAAATTAATAAACTCTATCCCCGAGGCAGTTGCTTGTGGATCTGTGTTGTGTAAGTACTGTATACAGACTTATTGGCCCAAGCTGGTGCTTGCTTGTAGCTCTCTGCACCGTGCCCTGTGGTACAGAAGCACATAACCTGACCTACTAGGAGCTGTGGGTGTAGACGGTGTGATATGGGAAGTTAACAAGGCTGGCAAACTGAGGAGAACTGCAGCTCCCACTTTCCCTGGGGCCAAAAGTTTTTCAAACTCTGCTAAGGTCTGCGGAGAAATTTCAGCTGATTTGTAGCTTTTTTCCATTTTCTAGGCTTATAAGAACTCAACATCCTGGGAGATAAGCCTTTCAGTATGGAAACAGTCTTTCTAACAAAAAATATTCTGGCTCTAGAGGTGCTTCCTTACAGCTCTGACAGAGACCTCTGACAGAGGCCTAATCTCACTTCCTGTGGTGGTCCAGAACCTTGGATGGATGGAGTTGACAAGGACATTTATCCTCATCATAGTGGTCTGAGGAGGAGGTCCCACAAAGTAAATATTTTGGATTTTCACTAGAGTAATATCACAATTGCCATTTCTATCATGTTGCAATCTGCTGTTGCTTCATCCTGCTCTGTGTAATGTGCTATCAAAATCAGTTCTGCTGCTTATTTGCCACTGTATGGACATTGCAGTTAAAGGCTTCATAATTTCTAGTCTTTTATATGGAACAATAATGAAAATCTTCGGAAAATAAAAATAGGCAAACATATCTGTCTGCCTGAATCTGAAAGGCAATATCTTTTAGTTGTACAGGTTTTTTTTCTTTCTAATTGCCACAACACTTACCATAATTAATTTAAAAAAAGAGTTTAGAAAGCAGTTGGTATAATTAATGTATTGATCTAGTTTTCCATTATGTCGTTGGCACAGGTGAAAAATGTGCTTTTGATGAAATTGTTGATTAAAACTACCAAAGAATCCATTATATCTAGCTTACATTCCCTTACCTAATGAAGCAGATGGATATAAAATGAAGGAAGGCCATATTGACCTTTAGCAGAAATATATATGGCATATAACTTGATACCTATAAGATAATTAATATTAATCTGACCTTTTTAGTTTTGTGAACTACAGTTCTGTTACTAATAGCAGCTACATAATGTGTTGTATGTTTTCACTGAAGAGGTCATGCACTGGCTAAGAGAAGGAAAATGTGGATTAGCTCAGCTGTTCTCAGCATCTCATAGATTCAGGGCAGGGAGGGGGAACATCCCCATCTTCCCTCCCAACCCTCTCATACACCTTAGTAGGTCAGGAATGTGCATAGTGCTTCTTCTGTGGGCAGAATGCTTTGAGGGAGGAACACCAGACTACTGATCAGCATGAGGAAGTGCAGAAAGAGTTAAATTAGGATATTGGGTGGTTTCAGCAAGGCAATCCCAGTCCTGTGCTGGTCCTCCCCCTGAGCAGGGACCATCAGTACACATTTGTCCAGCATCTGATGTGATCATACGACAATGTTATTTTACATGATAAGATAATGTGAGCTATGTGAGTATGTGACTGTGGCTTGCCTAGCATGGAATTACTCAAAAATGACTTTTGTTTTCAAAATTCAGATCAACCCTAGGTTAAAATAACTTAAAGTATAGACAGTCCTAAAACAAACACAGGGTACTCTGTAACAGCCTTTTAAAGAATGTTCTATTCACAAACATTTTCTAACTATTGAGTCAGTGACTGGACTTTCCTAAGATTTAAAAAAATCCTGGATGTTTGCTGCATTATTTAGCAGCAGCTGTCCTTCATGTTGGCCTAACAATAAAATTTCTGCCTCAGTTTCTCTATGGTCATTTGTTTAATGTTAGCACTTCAGTCCCCAGTAGAACTAGGTGATCTTTAAGGTCTCTTCCAACCCAAACCATTCTATGATTCTATGGTTCTATGAAATTAGAAATTTTTTTTCCAGGAAAAAACAAAAGATTCCAAAGCAAAATCCTATTCTCTTTTGTTTGAGTCAAGTGCAGATCTTTACAGTCAAGCCAGTATGCCCAGTGCTGTCTCTGTTCACACCTCTTAAAGCTCATGAAGGCATTTGTATTGCATCTGCAGCCAAAGGTGCCCTCTGAGGGGAAACTCACAAGGATATGTGGAAAAATGTTTCATCTGCATTGGACATGTCTAGTTGTTAGCTGAGGCAGTTCTGTTACTACATATCTCTGCAAAATACTCTCCAAACGTCAAAAAAAAAATGAGTGAAGATGCAGACAAATCCTTATCTTCCCCTCCTTCAAAGCGTGTCCAGCTTTCCCAGCTATCCGAGTGCTGCCTATTGCTCTGTTTCTACCCTGCTGTTTTCCCATGGCATGGCTCCCTTCTGTGCTTTG